AGGGAGGCAGGGGCTGCAGCTGCAGCTCCTGCTCGAGCTGGCGTGGGAACAGGCCATAAATAGCCTGTTCCGAAACCCAGTTTTCGTGCCTGAATCTTAGGGCAGGTCGAAACAAATGAAGCCTAAAAATAGCCCAGGGCCTAAGAATAGCCCTCCGTTTCAGGCTGGAAAAACTCTGGGTCTGAAAGACCCAGAAATAGGCTGAAACGGAGTAGGGCCTGCAGGCCCTCGTTTTTCAGTTTTCAGGCTGAAACGACCGGGGCCTGTAGCTCCTAAGTTTTAGGCTCTTAGGCTGAATGTCCAGGACGGGTCCTACAGGGCCCGTGTGGCTACGCAGTCTGCCACATCTCAATTCTCTCCGGAACCTTCCTTAGTCTAGGAAGTTTCGTTTTCATCTCGTTCAATGATCTCCAGTCGCACTTCTCCCCATCCCACATGTCCTTTACTCGTACTACACCTCTTTCTACCCATGCTTTCCCAAAACTCCCTGGAGCCTCATGGGCCGAAAATTCATCACCATGAGCATCCAGCAATAACGGATTTTCAAACAGGATTTGATTCAGCACGGTGTCTCTTGAGCTGGGGGACTCTCTTTCCGTAGTAAAAACCTTGCGCCACGCAGGGAGGATATTCTTCGACAACCTAGACTTAGGCTGTTTGTGAACATAGGATTTAATCAACAGGCACGCCAATACATCCTCATCTTTACTAAATGACCATTCATCCCTCAGTATGTAAGTGGCCAACCGTAGCCAGGGGGTATCTGCCTCCACCGACAAAGCCTTAATGGGCCACTTTGCCAGAAGGGCATTATTCTGTTGTTGAGGGTCCAACATCCCCAACCCCCCCTAGGTTCTGTGGAAGGAGATAGTGTCCCAAGCTATTTTCGAAACAAACCCTTCATCTCTCTTCCCTTCTGGCTTCCAGAGAGTTTTGGCCGCTGCTTTTCTAATTTTCCTGTACGGAGCCGCACCCAACTTATGCACGGCCAAAACAAACCATAGGCCCGAAAAGGCTGCCGAGGAGATGACCATAGCGCTTCCCATTAGAGATAGGTGTCCCAAACTGGTCCAGGAGTAGAGCCTGCTGATAACTTTTTCTTCCAAAAGAGAATCCTGAAATCCCGCATTGTCCGATAGCGACACTTGAATACCCAGGAACCGATCAGAAGAGTTCGCTGGTCTTTTCTTCAAACCCCAGTTTACTTGCAGGCTATGTGATTCAGGCAGGGAAAAGACAGATCATTTATTCCAGTTTATTGAAGCCTCAGATAAATCATGATATGAATTTAGAACCTTTCTTATTTCCATCAGATTAGAACGGGTGTGCCCTGCGACTCCAATGGATTAGGAAACTAATCTTTGCCACGGACAGTCCCTGGCAACCCTTGGCCCTAGAGGGCCTGGCCCGCCTAGCACCCCCCGCCCCCCCCGGAGTGCACCCCCTAACATGGTTAGAGGACCGATATTGGACAATCCCAAGGAAGTGGCCGAACAGAGGAAGGAACCCGAGTGGAGCTATGGACCAATTTTGGCCCTCACTGTTGAGGAGCTGGCGATGACTCCCTCCCCTGGAAAGGCAACTCCCTGACTGGTGGGAGGAGGTCTCTCGTCAACCCCTCTTTGGGAACCGATGGCTCACGGATAGGCAGGGACAAGTGATGAACAACTTAGCATCCCCGTGGAAAGGGTGGGTAAAACAAGGGGTAATCAGAATAGGAGACATATGGAACAAAGAGCGAAAAGATTGGAAAACAGTAGAGGAACTACGCCCCACACTCAAACACTGTCACCACGTCACACAAAATCTGGAAAAACTCGTCGAAAGAATACCACTCTCGTGGTACAGGAAACTGAGAAAAGGCCCCTCGCTGAAGGAAGGAGACTGGGTTGGGCTCAGAGGAGATCCCGGACACATTGGGAGAGTACGTTGAGTAAGGCCCGAGGAGGAACTCGTTGAAAAATATGCACTTTGTCGATCAGGCTCCTTGCAGGGCAGTCGGGATCCCTTCATCTAGTTGGACAAAACGGAAATATTCCGGGTACAAGTCCAGGGCGAGGGTGAGGAAGCCCGGGCTTTCCAACCATCCACTGGAATACAGGAATTACCCTTGGACCTAGAGGAATGGGAGTGGAAGCCAGCAGGGCGAAGGACAGGTCCAACAAAGAAGATTAGTCTCCACAAATTGACAGTCAAATCCACGTACAAAATGCTCAGACCTAAAAGACCATTGAGAGACGTGATTAATGATAGATGGGCAAAACATCTAAATGTGGACCGCTCATTCCTCACACCAATCCCCTGGTTCCAAGAACGAAAAGCAAAGCCAGCAAAAATCACCTCTTTACAATGGCAGATAGCTCATCGCTGCCTTCCTACTATGAACTGGCTGATTGATCATACAAATCTGGAACAGAAAGGCCAGGCCTTACCCTGGTGCCCGCGATGCTTGCAAGCCTTTCCGACAAGCAAGTGGGCAGAAACCATCGAGCATGTCTTCATGCAATGCCCCACGGCAAAACTGACGTGGCGATGGTGGGACAGGATATGAAGAAAGATGGTCCTTGACCCGCCATGGCCATGGTCATGGAGGGCCATACTCACAGGCTACTGGCCACAGGCCCAGGAGGCATCTGATTTCGTGGAGAATATGTTTAAATTGGGACGACGAGCAATCCTATGGGGACTTTGGTGGCAAAGATGCCTCCTGGCAATAGAAGGGGTGAGGGTGGAAGGGCCAGAAGTAACTGAACAGATCCAACAGCAGATAAATATGGAGATAACGAGGAGATGGCGGGAGTTGAAACCCCAACTGGACCTCTTTCAGACATACACAGACATCAAGCGAGCACTCTCATCCTTCTGCAAAGCTTGGTTAGGGGGAGACAGGGGAGGATGGATAGCGAAAGTGGAATGGGGGGGGGATAAGGACGAAGGGCAACCGAGGGGGAGAGCGAAATGCAGGGACTATCGTCTAATCCTTAACGACTGGACAAATATAGAACCCACCGTCCCAATGCGCCCCCCATCTGACTTCCCAGACCCTTTCCCTCCACACCCGCTCGCCCTAGTTGAGGCAAGGACGGACTGATTCCTCCTCCTTTTCCTTTTTCCATCCCTCACTCCCATTTTTCTCCACCCCTATTCTTTTCTATCTCCTCCCTCATTCATCACCTGTAGTGGTTTTTTTTTTTTTTTTCTCTCTTTCTTTTTTTCTTTTTTTTTTGTGTTTTCTTTTTTTGTAGAGGCTTCTTAACAGTCACCTCTCTCAATCCTTTCAAACTGTGCCTTTGCCACAGTCATTGTCACTCATTTCCTTCAAACAGTGTCTTTGCAACAGCCATTCTTTTTATTAGCCCTGTGCCCTGAGACTTTCCGGCCTCTGGTGCCCCTTCGGAGACCGGGCACCACTCTGGAGACACGCATGACAAAACACAAGTGAAGGAATATTTTCGGCTGCACAGTTAACCCGCCGGCCAGCCGGAGTAGTCAATGCTGGTAGCCAAAGTCTTACTCTTCCCAAAAAAAGAGGGAGAGGGAGGAATTAGCATGTAGTAGTAAGATCAGGCGTCGGGCTCAAGGTGAAGAGATCCCCCCCTCCTTCCTCTATCCTTCTCGGTCAATCCCCTGGACTCCAGGGTAATCAATGCTGGTAGGAACCTCTCTCAGCTCTTTTGATTGCTTACAGACATGGCTCAAAACTCGTTTTTGTTAAAAGGGACGCTAGACCCATTTTCCAGCAGGTGATGCTCCCTGAAACGGTTTCACCCAGTTGACCTTGTACTGCAGTCACAGAGATTCGATCCCTAGACCTGTGCCCTAACCCTGTACATTGACCCTGTGTGCTGAGTGAGATTCGATCCCTAGACCTACCCTGTACCTGTACATAGACCCCGTGACCTGAG